TCAACTTGCTTTTGTTATGTTGTATGGATTACTCTAGACCTAGTTCAATTGTATTGAAAATGCAATTCATGTTAATATATGCTCAAGCATTCTTCTTGTCGTGTTCTTTAGATTATCCCAACCATGATTCGTTTCATACACGTATGTATATCATGATTCTTGTTGCTTAGACTCTAAGATAGCTTAGGATGCTCCCCGAGTCTCACTTGGACATAGACGTTAGGTGGCATGAGCCCTTTAACATGTTTCACCTTAAGGTGATAAATTTGTAAAATGCTAGGTCGATGCATGCTCATCTCCTACGAGTAGCTTTATGTTACTCACCCCTACGATACTGGGGCATATTTCAGGTACGAAAACTTGGTTCGTGAAGCCTAGCATTCCTTGGATGTCGAGTAGCTTTCAAGTTTCCATTTAATGCAAATGATAGCATGAAATGTCATTTTGTAGACTTATATGTCAAAATACGTATATTTGATTCCATGTATGTAATGTGTACTTAAGTACACTCCTTTCAATGTATTTGATATGTATGAGATGAGGCCGGAGGCCAATGACATGTATACTGTATTTTATGCAACTTTTTAACTTCATGAAATATTATGAAAATCTTGAAAAATCGCAAGTCATTCCTTCACCACGGTTGCATCGGGTGTGGGAATTCCATTTTCATTCTTTTATAGGGTCTTATTAATCTTGTATGAAGTGTGGCCAAAGGTCAAACGGTCATTTAATCCCGTTTTGCATTTTTGGATTCCATGTTTTCCATTCCAAGTCCATTTTTGACTTTTTGCCCGTTGGGGGGTCGAATTTTGCATCGGCTATATTTTTAAGCCATGGACCATTGTAGCGCGTCTAAATAGGTAAGTTACGTTTGTGTGCATAGTCGTTTCCGGGCAAAACCTCATCGTTTGTGTTTTGAGCCTCTTGTGAATTCATTTCGCATTTTTTTTGCATATTTTGATCTAGGGGCATTATGGACCTTTCACCTCAGTTTTATTTTCTTCTTTTGACATAGTCACTTAGAAAACGTGATTTTAGGGGGGGTTTCTTTTTCGTGTTTTTCCAGAAAAGGTCGTCTTGGTACCGGAAATCCCTTGTGAAGTTTCAGCTTCCAGTTTTCATTTAGTAGTTTTATGACCCTCTTGTTCAGTTCTGATCTAGGGGTATTTTGGAGATTTTACAGTGAGTTTTTTTCGATTCCGTTCGTAATGTCGGGTAGAAAACTCGATTTTAGGGGGGGGTTCTTCTTCGTGCTTTTCCAGAAAAACTCGTCTTGACCTCCGTTTCAAGCCTCAGTTCTGGACAGATCAAAAAAAATGTAGCAGCAGCCAAGGGCTGCCACCAGCCATGTCCTTGGGCGCCGGCATGCATGCCGGTGGGCTCGCGCATGAGCGCCGTGTGCGCCATGGCCCCTCGTCGGGCCGCCGCGACGTCAATTCTTCTTTTGGGCTTTTCTCCTTCGTCCAAACTCCGATTCAAGTGAATTTTTTGTTGAACTTGACTAATTTTTCGCTGTCTTTTCAACGGTGTGCTCGGTTGCACCTGGTTCTTCCTGCATAATTACCAGTTTACCCTTTTTGCTTTAAGTGCTCGTTTGTCTTCGTCATGCTGTTTCTCCTTCGTTCGAACTCCGAATCATGCGATTCTTGAGTCCATCTTAATTAGTTTTTCGTTGTCCTTCCAGCGATGTGCTTGGTGGCACCCGAATCTATAATTTTTAGAAATGACTATTTTGCCCCTGGGGGCTTATTTGTCATATTTTTGATCTTTTGCTTCCGCATCAGTTCTTGTTGAGTTCCACGACCTCATGGAAGGTCACTTTGACTTCTTAGAGTCTTGTTTTCTGTTTTTACTTCCGCATTCGGATCCGTTATCGGATCATCCTTATGGTTCATCATAGGACACGCTGGCCTAAAAACCAGGGTCGTCACAATGTTTATAATATTTGATTATTTTTTATGATTGATTAAAGGCACTGTTATTAATATATGGTAATTATGACCGAGATGTCCTTAGAAAACCGAACTTCTAATTGTTCTCTCATTTTTGTTGGGAATAGTGCTCTTCAAGCTAATTACTAAATGTATTCAATATATTTTTAAATATTTGATTTTATAGTATACATGCATATTTGGTGGTGAATGCTTAGATTTATTAACTCAAGAGGTGAGTTAAAACTACTTTAACAAATACTAAATGATTTATGTCCATCCACTATGGAGATAAATGCATATGAACTATAAGTCGAAGAGATGAATTTGTCATAAAAGAGGTTGTCTGCTATCTAAGTTGACTGTATTATGATAAGGTATAATGTGTAACTATTTATTTATGAAAAATGATTATTGCACAGAATAGTTGGAGTGAATTGTTAGATTTAGGGCCTGTTTGATTTCCCAATTAAGCACTGAATGCAGAACACGATAAGTAATTTTTAAAAATAAGTGCGTTTCATAAAATTTTAGGACACCGCTTAACATGGTAAGTACCGCTTAAAAGAAGCCAAAATATTAGCTTGTTAGCTTTCCAATTGAAGAGAAGACTCACGTAAGTAGAAGAGCAAAAAAATAATATCAGTAAGTTATCATTCTAGAAAAGTGAAAGGAAAAGAGAGAGAGAGAAGCTTGGACCGGTGTAGGTAATTTTACCCGACTACGCGCAATCGGCGGATTTGTTTCAAATCCATAAGGCAAGTTATTATCTACTTTTCCCCTTTGAATCAATAAATTAATTATTTAATGGATTTAGATTATTTTGGAGCATAAAGAGCATGCTAGGATTTTAATAAATTATTATTTTTAGTTTATTAAATTAGTGAAATATTAATTCTTTAAGGTGTTAGATATTATTTTATTAGCCTATGTAATTAAATATAGCTAAAAATAATTATTTAAAGGCTTTAGGAATTTTTTTAGAATTTTCTGGGATTTTTTTGAAAATTCCGGCGAGCCTCCGGCTAGGTTTCCGGCCACCGGCAGTGAGGAAGGTGACTGGAGTAATCCGGTGTGATGCGGCGCATGGTGGTTAGTGTGCGCATGGATCAGTGGCCGTTAGATGGGTTGTTGATCTTAGATCAATTCAGTGTAGCGCAGCACACCATTTGATAGTGTGCGCGAATCAGTGGCCGTACGATGACGTTAGGATCATCATTTTAATCCAGTGCAGCGCGCCTACAGAATTGTAATGCAACCAACGAACGAGGAAGCGCCACGTCAGCAGGTGGCCATTGCGCAAGCGTGGCAATGCGTGCGCGCGCGTGACTGGTTCTAAACGCGCGTGAAGGCGTGTGTAAGCGCGTGCACATGTGAGAAAAGTGGCGGCGTATGTGGGAAGCTCTGTTAGGCACATGGGGGCGCGTGAGGGACCCCTACAGCTGCTAAAAAAGTCCAGAATACCCCTAGGGACTGTTTTGTAATTTCTAGAACCTTCAACTTGCATTTTTGGTTCCGGGTTGGTATTTTCGGAATTAACGGGACATTAAATTATTATTTTGTTACCTGTTAATTATTATGATGCCCAATTAATATTTCTAAACAATAATTGTATCGTTTATAGTACGGATCACTATTAAATGGATGTAATTAATTTAATGACATACTTAAATATTAATTGTGTTATTATTTTAAATGGTACTAATCATTGATGTTAAATTAAATGTTTACATGATTTTCTTCATATAAATTGTCCATTATACATTATGGGATTATTTATGTTGTTTATTGATATGTAAATCATTATTATTTTGCTGGGTGCATTTCAGGTAGTAAATGGACTGCTTAATAAATTATATCGCATTTATATTATATGGATATGTTACCATATAGAACCATGTGAGCTGACTAATAAGTTGAGACTCATTTATACTTTATGCATTCGTTGCCATAGACAGATGTGTGGCTGTCGGGGTATGTGGTTTAATATTATTGGCATGTGTTGCCTAAGTGATATGCTCAGTATATTCATTAGTACCTTGAGATGCGTTACCACTGTGTAGGACTTATAGTCTGTGTTGTCAGTACCGTGCACCATGTATTAATAGCTGATTTCCCAGGTAGGGAAAGGAGACACTTAACCACCTCATGTGAGTCTAAGTGATCACCATCTATTCTGGTTGAGGTCATATTATACATTGTGTAGTTTCATTAGGGTGTATACAGATATAGTATACTTCCGAATAGTAATGATTAATTTATTTGATTCTCTGATTTAGGTCATAGTAGAGAGGACTTGCTCGTGGGGTTGACCCACTATTGTTGTTATTTCAGGACACGGTCAGTACCCGTTTCAAGGTTGAGGCTTAGCAGTGTGGGACTAACATCCGAACTCATCTACTCTCATGGTCTTGTTCAGGGTAGAAGTTTCATGTATTATTTTGCTTTTAGTTTTATTTACTTCCGACGTTGAACTTTTAAGTTTATATATAGGGATCCTTGACATAGGATTTCTAAGTTGTATAACGAAGTATTGTATTTAATAAAGGATGGATGAATGTTTTATTATCGAGTTTTCCTTTCCTGTCTAAGTTCTTCTACTATTATCATTTTGTATTCTATGCTTGTATATTACCAATTGTTTTTGATATTCCTCATTTTTCGTGTATAAGCCTTGATCAACTTATGCGTGTAAAATGTGGGGGTGTTACAGTTGGTATCATAGCATTCCAGATTCGAGTGTCTTAGGGATCTGTGGTTACTATACTTCCGCGTTGTGTATTCTGATAATTAGAGCCTAAGTATTAGGGTTCTTGGTACTCTTTTAGTCGGTCCATTATAATGTACTGACGTTAGATTTTCTAATTCGACAGAAGGATGGTTAGACGTGGGACAAGGAGTGCGAACAGAAATTGAAGTATTTCCCTAAATCAAGATGAGAATCAGGAATTTTCTCCTCAAGTTGCTGATATCATTGCACGAGCTGTAGCAGCAGGAGTAGCATCTGCTCTACGAAACCAGCAACCTCCTCCGATAGCACATGTTCCTAAACCAGTAGCACAGCCAATGTCATGGGACAAAACTCATCACTCGTTCATCAGAGGGAATCCACCATCATTTGCAGGGTCCACAGATGTCATGTTAGCATATCAGTGGAAACAAGAGAGCGAACGTCATCTTCAGATGGTAGTCTGTACCGAAGTGCAGAAACAGATGTTAGCTACTTTTATGCTGATAGGCAATGTGTTGCAGTGGTGGGAGTCTATCACTACCATTGAAGAGAGGACCAGGTTGACATATGCTGAATTTCAGACTCGCTTTGATAGCAAGTATTTTCCCTTGTCAGTAAGATCAACGATGAAGACCGAATTTCTGGATCTACAACAGGGGGATATGACTGTGGCCGAATATGAACAGAGGTTTATCAATTTGTCTTTATTCGCACCAGAGGAGGTGGATACTGAAGAAAAGAAGAGAGACCATTTTGTTAAGGGGTTAATATGGCCAATTAAAATGGTGATCATAGGTAGTCCTGCATATACTACTTACATACAGGTGGTTAATGCTACTTTACAGCACTGCCAGATAAGGAATAATTACCGGAAATCCAAGGGAGATAAATGGGCTAATCGAGACTTCACTCACCAGATAGTGGAGAGTGGAAGCAGTAGTGGTACCAAGTTTAATGACCGGGGCAGAGTTCAAGGACATTAACCTTGGAAGAAAAACAAAGGAAACACAGAGGTGCAGAGAGATGGGGTTCCTAATCAGGGTAGACAAGTTGGGGTACCTCAGACTGGACAAGAACAGTTTTCGGGAAATCAACAGAGGAGGCAGACAGGTCCTTTTTAGGGACGTTGTTATCACTGTAGGGAGATTGGGCATCCAGCCAAGATGTGTCCCAAAGCTAAGCAGGGACAGTATGGGCAGCCGAGACCTAATCAACCCTTACCTTTACCGGCCCCACAGATACCACGTGGCCAAGTTCAGAACTTTCTGGCACTTCCAGCACCACCACTTCCTCAGGGACAACCTCCACAATAGTTGCACCATGGCAGGGTATATAACTTCATGCCATATAATGTGCAGTCTCCTCAGGCTATTGAGGGTATGTTTTCTATACATAGTAGATCTACTCGTATACTGTTTGACACTGGTGCATCACATTCTTTTGTGTCTAGATCTTTTGTTATCTTATCTGGTATGGTGATTCAGTTTTGTGACCAACCTCTCAATATTTATACACTATTGGGAGTTGGCGTAATTTTACGAGAGTGTTGCAATGATGTTCTTATAGATATGGGCTGGCTTCGATTTCTTGCAAATTTGTTAGTTTTAGATATGCATTCTTATGATGTTATACTTGGGATGGACTGGTTATCTCAGTACCATGCTCAGGTTAACTGTTACGAAAAGTCTATTGTATTTGCTATACCAGGACAGGAGATGTATCTTCTTGTTGCACCACAACCTGATAGAGGGCCTAGCACTTATTTATTCTTTATTGAGGAGGACTCACAGGAAGAGACTGCGGTATCTCTTGACAATATCTCGGTAGTGCAAGAATTTCAGGATGTATTCCAGGAAATTCCAGACTTGCCACCAAGTCGAGAGATAGACTTCGTCATTGATTTAGCTCCAGGTACTACGCCTATTGCTAAAGCGCCATATAGAATGGCACCAGTGGAGATGCAAGAGTTGAAAGATAAAATTCAACAGTTGCTCAACCAGGGATTTATTCGCAGGAGTACTTCGCCATGGGGAGCACCAGTATTGTTTGTTAAGAAGAAGGATGGATCTCTTCGTCTTTGTATTGATTACAGAGAACTGAACAAGGTCACTATTCATAATAAGTACCCGTTGCCCAGAATTGATGACCTGTTTGATTAGTTGAAGGGAGCTACTTACTTCTCGAAGATCGATTTGAGATCTGGTTATCATCAGCTAAGAGTCAGAGAATAAGATGTTCCACAAACAGCATTTCTCACAAGGTACGGATCTTATGAGTTTCGTGTTATGCCTTTCGGCTTAACTAATGCCCCAGCTGTCTTTATGGACCTGATGAACAGAGTATTCAGAGAGTACTTAGATTAATTTGTCATTGTGTTCATCGATGATATTCTGGTCTACTCTAAGTCGGAGAATGACCGTGCTAGACATTTACGCACCGTCTTGCAGACACTTCGAGAACATCAGTTGTTTGTAAAGTTTAAGAAGTACGAATTTTGGCAGAAAGAGGTCAAATTTCTGGGCCATGTAGTGTCAGAAGAAGGGTTAGCAGTAGATCCAGCCAAGGTTACGGCAGTTATAGAGTGGGGACAGCCTACCTTACCGACAGAGGTTCGCAGTTTTCTAGGATTGGCAGGGTATTACCGCAGGTTCATCCAGGGATTTTCTAAAATTGCGGGTCCACTTACTCATCTGACCAAGAAGAATGTACCATTTGTGTGGGATAATTCTTGTCAGACTACTTTTACTGAATTAAAGAGTAAGTTAACTTCTGTATCTGTCTTAGCCACACCTCAGAGTGGAATCGAGTATTTAGTATATACCGACGCTTCTCTGAAGGGTTTGGGTTGTGTGTTGATGCAAGAAGAGCGACCAGTTTCTTATGGGTCCCGGAAGCTTAAGCTTCATGAGCTTAATTACCCAATTCACGATTTGGAGTTAGCAGCAGTGGTTTTTGCCTTACGTATATGGAGGCATTATCTTTTGGGGGAGACTTTTTGATTGTTTAGTGATCATAAGAGTTTACAGTATTTGTTCACACAGAGGGAACTAAATATGAGACAGCGCAGATGGTTAAAGTTCGTGAAAGATTATCACTTCTCTATTCAATATCATCTAGGGAAAGCGAATGTAGTAGCAGATGCACTCAGCCGCCGACCCTATGTCAGCCTTTCAGCTTTGTTTGCAACAGAGTGGGATGCTTTGAAGGCTGCTGATGAGTTAACAGACGCTTTTATGGCATGTGTGGTAGTAACTCCTTCTATCATTCACCAGGTCATTAAAGTTCAACTCACAGATCAACAGTGTATTGATCGGGTTTTGGAGTTAGCTTCAGGTGATGTTCCTTTATATTCCATGGGTACCGATGGAGGATTGAGGTACAAGGGACGTTTAATTGTTCCTTCAGCTGACAATTTTAGAAATGTTGTGATGAGAGAGACATACACTTCTCAGTTCTCTGTACATCCAGGGGGAGACAAGATGTATCAGGACATGAAACGCCAGTTTTGGTGGGTCGGTATGAAGAGAGATATAGCTATCTTTGTCTCTAAATGCAGCACTTGTTAGATGGTTAAGATTGATCATCAGAGACCGCCAGGATCTTTACAGCCACTTCCCATACCAGAGTGGAAATGGGAGAGTATTTCTATGGACTTCATAGAGGGATTACCTACTTCACATCATAATCACAATTCTATTTGGGTCATTATTGATAGATTGACCAAGTCTGCTCATTTTCTGCCTGTTCGTTTAAACTTTACGTCAGAACAGTATGCTAAGCTTTATATTGCAGAAATGGTGAAACTTCATGGCATACCATTGTTCATCGTATCAGATAGAGATTCGAATTTTGTATCAGGATTTTGGAAGAGCTTTCAGCAGGCTTTGGGTATGGAACTTTATCTTAGCACTGCCTATCATCCTCAGACAGATGGACAGACTGAGCGAGTTAATCAGATTTTAGAAGACATGTTACGGGCATGTGTTCTTGATTTTAAGGGCAATTGGGAGGAATATTTGCCGCTTTCAGAGTTTGCTTATAACAATAGTTATCAGAAAACTATTGGTATGGCACCATTTGAGGCTTTGTACGGTAGACCGTGTAGGTCTCCTGTTTGTTGGCTTGGAGTTGGCGAGAAGAGCTTTTTGGGTCCTGAATTTATTAAGGACACGTCAGAAAAGATCACTATCATTAGGGATCGGATGCGTACAGCTCAAAGCAGATAGAAAAGTTATGCCGACCGTCGAACTCGTGTTTTGGAGTTTAAGGTTGGTGATCAGGTTTTACTTAAGGTTTCTCCTATGAAAGGAGTAATGCGGTTTGGGTCAAAGGGTAAGTTATCGCCTCGGTTTGTGAGTCCTTTTATGATTACAGATCGGATTGGAGCAGTAGCTTATCGTCTGGCTCTACCAGATAATCTTCATAGGGTACATAATGTCTTTCATGTATCCATGCTGCGAAAATTTCTACGGGAAGAAGACAGATATCAACACATTGATATGGGTGAGATTGAGTTGCAACCCGATGTAACCTATTTAGAACAACCTTACTGTATTCTCGATCGTAGGAATCAGATACTGTGCACGAAGACTATTCCATTGGTACGGGTACAGTGGAGTCATCATAGTGAGTCAGAGTCTACTTGGGAACGAGAAGATATTATCCGTGCCAAATATCCAGAACTCTTTCATACAGTATATAGTGAATTTCGGGGACGAAATTCCTTTGTTATGGGGGAAGAATGTAATAACCCGTATTTTTAAAGAGTTTATTTAAATTAATTTTGTGTTAGGTTAATTATTTAATGTGTAGATTTATTCACTTTTGAATTGTGTATGCTAAATTATTAAATTAATTTTATTTATTTGTGCATGCATCATTGATTGTATGCTCTCTATACCATAATGTTAGTTTATATATTTTATTGATTATGTTTTATATTAATTAATATTACTTAATTAAAGTTGTACATTTGTAATGTAATGTATTATTATTTAATAATAATAATAATAATAATAATAATAATAATGTTTCAAATGTTATGATGTAAATTAGATATTAGGATAGGATTTCATTTATGGCATATGGGTGGACTTAGATTGCATTGCCTTAAAGCCATATAGGTGGGAATGTTTGGATAAATATTATAAGTTAGATATTTGTAATATTTATATTATATAAGTTAGTATTTATATTAGCTTTTTAGCTTTCCAATTGAAGAGAAGACTCACGTAAGTAGAAGAGCAAAAAAATAATACCAGTGAGTTATCATTCTAGAAAAGTGAAAGGAAAAGAGAGAGAGAGAATCTTGGACCGGTGTAGGTAATTTTACCCGACTACGCACAACCGGCGGATTTGTTTCAAATCCATAAGGCAAGTTATTATCTACTTTTCCCCTTTGAATCAATAAATTAATTATTTAATGGATTTAGATTATTTTGGAGCATAGAGAGCATGCTAGGATTTTAATAAATTATTATTTTTAGTTTATTAAATTAGTGAAATATTAATTCTTTAAGGTGTTAGATATTATTTTATTAGCCTATGTAATTAAATATAGCTAAAAATAATTATTTAAAGGCTTTAAGGATTTTTTTCGAATTTTCTAGGATTTTTTTGAAAATTCCGGCGAGCCTCCGGCGAGGTTTCCGGCCACCGGCGGTGAGGAAGGTGACCGGAGTAATCCGGTGTGATGCGGCGCACGGTGGTTAGTGTGCGCATGGATCAGCGGCCGTTAGATGGGTTGTTGATCTTAGATCAATTCGGTGTAGCATAGCACACCATATGATAGTGCGCGCAAATCAGTGGCCATATGATTACTTTAGGATCATCATTTTAATCCAGTGCAGTGCGCCTACAGAATTGTGATGCAACCAACGAACCAGGAAGCGCCACGTCAGCAGGTGGCCATTGCGCGCGCGTGGCAGCGCGTGCACGCGCGTGACTGGTTCTAAACGCGCGTGAAGGCGCGTGTAAGCGCATA